CACCCAATCTTCCTCCTCGGCTCCTCATATTCTTCCTCTCTTTGTCCAATCCATGCATGATCCAGCGACGGCGATTGGGCGGATCGGCTAGTGGAAAGACAAAAAGGAAATTGACGGCGGTGACAAGGACGCCGACGACGACCTTGCCTTGCGTTTCCTTCCACGCGATCCACGACGCGCGGGCCATCGCGTACACACGGACACGGTTTGTACTGTACATAAAATTACAGACGCAGCAGCGTATACGCACGCATGCATCTGGCCGTGGTTTCGGACCCAATTCCAATCCATATCCATGCGCACGGGCGCCTGGCATACGGACTCCTAGTCGCGTTCGCCTCGTGGCACGCGACTGTACTGCTACGGCATGCAATGCATGGCACGCTCTCTCATGCACAACCACAAAGATTCCGGCCACCATTCTTTAGCCGTTGACGGAGCATGCTAGCATAGCTAAGGGCATTTCCAGCCGTTCGCCTTTCAGGAGGGGCAAAAAATCGTTCTCTGGAGGGCGCACCGGCGCTAAACCGCGCACTGGGGACGTGATGCCCCCCACTCGCGGCCCCCCACGGGTTTTTAAAGTGTTCAAATTCGGCGCAAACTCGCGGCCCCCCATGGGTTTTTAAAGTGTTCAAATTCGGCGCAAACACAACGCAAACATGGACGAGTTCGTTCAAATTTAAACATATTTTACAAAAAAATGAAAAACTACCGCAGGCTACCCCCGCTGTCTCCCTCGCCGCCCGCCCACACGGTTCTACATGCCGAGGAGACTGTAGAACCGCGTGTAGTCACCGCCGCCGTCGTCGTCGTCGTCGTCGTCGCCCCCGCCTACGCCTCCGTCATCCCTGCTGCATCCCTCCCCCGGTTGGCGCGGCGGGTTGGACGTTCCGAGGGCGGCGTCGTCGTCGTCGCTGTCGAGGACCACGATGCCGTGCTCGTCCTCGCGCCCACGCTTGCGGGCGGCGATCTCCTCCAGGGCCCGGCGCTGCCGGACCATCTCGTCGCGGAGGTAGTCGACCCGCGCCCACCGCAGGGCGTCCTCGTCGGAGAAGCCGCGCCAGGCTATCTCCTCGTACTCCGCGGGGAGGCCGGGCTCCGGCTTGGGCTCGACGAGGACGAAGCGGCCGGTGGGGGAGACGTTGTCGCCGATGCGGAAGCCGGAGCGGCGGGTGCGCGCGCTGACAGGCGTGCCCTGGGGCTCCGGCTTGACGGGGCGGAGGTGGAGGCAGGGAGAGCCGCCGGACGAGGAGGAGGACCCCCCGGTCACCATGCGCCTCGGCGTCCAGGAGCTTCCCCGGCGGCGTGAGAAGGACGGGGGAGTGGGGTACTCGAGGCGTGGCGTGTTGCCGCCCTCGATGTACTCGAGGACAACCTCCAACGTGCGCCCGGGCACGCCCCACCACCGACGCCGGCCGGCGGCCTTGAGCCTGCCGGAGGGCACGACGCCGTTGGTGGCCTCGAGCTGCTCGGCGTGACGGCAGCGGAAATAGGGCTCCTAGAGCGGGCTGTCGGGGACGTATCCTGGCCCCTCCCTCGCCGCACGCGGCAGGGACGAGCGGATGCGTGCGATCTCCGCACGCCGCGCCGCGCCGGTGGGTACCGGGGGCACCGGCACACCGCCGGCGCTGATCCTCCACGCCCCGGGCACCCGCATGTCCAGCGGGACAGGGTACTCGGCCTCGAAAAGGAGGCGAGCCTCGTCCTCGTGAACATGGCGGCGGCCGAAGTCGTTCGCCGCCGCGCGGTCGCCTGGGAAGCGCTCGGGCATGGGTGCGATAAACTGGAGACGGCGGGAGAGAGGAGAGGAAGGAACGATGACGTCGAGAGAGTGCGAGTCGCCGAGTGCGCTGGGGCGCGTCTTATATAGGCCGAGGCGCCGCCCGTGCGCGTGCCGCCATGTGTACGTGTGGCGGGCGATGGAGGGCGAGGGACGCGCGTCATCCGGTCTTCACTGCGCCGCCCGTGAGGCATCAATGGCGCAGGCTGACCGGCACGGCGCGCGGCAGCTTTGGCATTGATTCGCCGCGGGAAACGAGGCGATGAGGACGACGAAGGGGCGAGAAGAGAGCCGTGTCCCTGACGCGGCGGGCCCGCGGCTGTTTCGCGCCAAAACGGTTCGCCTCGGCGCCCCCGGGCGCCCCCAGCGCGCCGGGTTCGGCCTGGGTCTGCCGGCGCTGTTTTCGGCCAAGGCCGGCGAAAATCAGGCTCCTGGGGGCGCGATTGGGCCGATTTTTCGGCGCCGGCGCAAAAAAAACGCCTGGGAAGGCCTTCCTGGGGGCGCGGCTGAAGATGCCCTAAGCGAGCTACTGCATCGATCATCATCGCATAATTCCACCAATTCGCTTGCGCCTTTTCTTTTTCCCAGCCGTCGGCATCATTTTTCTTCTTTTTCTCGCAAAAAAAGCATAATTTTTCTTTTGTTGTTGACGAAATCCTGAAGGTTGAAAGGGAGTGCTTTGGGGCAAAGGCCCGAGGCGACATGCGATAGACGATGCTCGCTCCCTCCCCACCACCAAAGCCGCCGCACTTCCAGCCGCTCCACCACGCAGACCCACGCGCCGCCGCGGTTGTGAGCCTCGGAGCCTTCCTACGCGGCTCGCTCTCACCGCCGTCGCCGGTTTCCACCCGATGGCGGGGGTGGGGACAACGCCGCGGATTTCGTCCGGAATCTAGTGGCTCAGATCTGCTCCATTGTCGGGACCCTGATCCTTAGTCACACCAATCTAGCATATAACACACCATGTCACTTCACGGCCTCACGCACGTTAACCCACAGCTGCCGCTTTTATCTTGGACGGGACCGTTTGCATCTTTTGGCTCACGTATATGATTGTGATGCTAGCATTCATATGACATAGGACTCGGGTTGACATGATTAGTCATAAAGCAAGGTGACCCAAACGTACAAGGACAGTGTCGGTGTCAAAAACGGAAGATCTCGGGTAGGGGGGCCCGAGCTGTTAGATTGGATCGATGGGTAACAGGAGAAGAACACACAAGGGATTTACCCAGGTTTGGGCCCTCTGGATGGAGGTAAAACTCTATGTCCTACTCTTGTTTATATCATGAAGGTATCGAAGTACAGAGTTGATCTACCTTGAGATCGTAAGTTGTGGTCTAAACCCTAGGTTTGATGAATGGGTGTATGGATGGATTCGCCTCTACGGACTAAACCTCCTGGTTATATAGACACCGGGGGTAGCTAAGGTTATATATGGTCGGTTACTATCTAAGGATCCACATGTTGAATCTAAATATGCTCGAAGTACATGCCAAGTCTTCGGTCGCCGCACTTCGAGAGCCCCTGGAGTCTTGCTTTCTCAACGGGCTGGTAGTCCGGCCCATACTTTAGCCCGGCTTGGCTAGGACCCCCTAATCCAAGACACCATCAGCAGCCTCCGAACTTGTCTTCGAAGCCATGGTTGACAATCTTCCTCGGACAATGTCTTCGGCTTAGCAGGCAAGTTCCACATCTTCGGACGGGTATAATGCTTCGTGGGTCCTCTTAATGGATCCCTTTGGTAGAGGCCCAAGTAACTCCAGTCATGTGCTGCTCAAGGCGTACTAGTGTTCATCCAAAGTACAAAGCTTGCTTAGTCCCGAAGACTAGCAGCGCAGGTGAACTCGGGGTCAGTTATTGACAGCCTTTTACTGAAGCGTCACCAACCCTGACACGACATACGTCAGTCATTACTTATTTGAATCGTGGTTCGAGGCAAACTTCTTACTAGCACGTCGTATCAAAACAGAGATCGTGCCCCACATTTTGGGGGATATCATCAATCAACTGCTTCTCGCCATGCGGCCACAACGGCAAGGTAAGCCGAAACGTGGCGATTTTTACGGCGCTGAAGAGGGACGCTTCGCCTTTTGCTGGCTTATAAAGAGCAAGGGGGTAAATCGAACTCCACGCTCTCCTCTTGATCGAGCGCCCAAATCCTCAAACCTTCTCATTTCTAATCTCAAGCCCACAGCTTCACCCAAGCTTCCGCGCCCGCATCAATGGCCGATGCAGATGTGAAGGGGAGGTGGGTGGCCTCCAAGGTCACCGACACCACCATTGCTGAGCTTTGTGCGGCGGGAAAGAGTGAATATTCATCCATTCAACCCTCCTCTGGTCGAGAGTGAATATTCAAGTGTTAACAATAGGGAAAGAGTGTCATCAACTCACACAAGTACCATGAAGCAAGTCTTCTGGTGGTATACACTGGCATTCTGCAACCAGGCAACCAAGTTAATTTAATATGACAACCAAGTGCCTCATAACCTGACAAGTATCGACGAAGAAAAAAGTTGGCAAAACATACCAACATGTGATCTAGTTTCAAAGTTCTCACCAGAAAGAAATCAACGGTGAAACCGGATTATCAATCAAGATAGGCCGGAGAGATGAAACTTTTCAAAAATTCAAAATCAAAGAAATCATTGTTGATGTCATGCCAATATATTGTTGCATACACGCAAGAGAGAAGAGGAAATATGATGCCACATGGGAAATCGGCCCTGGGGCGCCGCTGCCTAGTCGTGTTCTTATTGGTACTGACATTAAGAAATAACTACGTAGTTGGGTAAAAGAAAGTATTTTAAACAAGATCCACAATGACGCACATCAGAAAGAATTATTTCAAAATCATTGTAGCAACAATGAAGCATGTTGTTCCATCTTCCACATCTCTGCTGAAAAGACCGAAGTTTCATGCTCCGTGGAAACTGGAGATCTGAAGTTCCATATATAGTGTACGAATGTTACGACCAGCTGAAATGCATCACGAACTAAATGGTTCTGCAGATGTTAAGTGTTAGGTTAGTCAGAATTGATTGTCCTTTATTAGAGAAAGGAATAAAAAACTTCCTCTGCAATCTCATAAAACAAAATCATTTTAACAATGAACTCGGACCTGGGCCATTGAGCAATATTATATTGAGGTGGGGGCTAACAAAATCATAACAATAGAAAGCCATTGTGTGCCCAGGTAATTTCATACCGCATATGGCATTCAACTTCCAGTTGACCATAATCCGTTGAGCCTATCGACAATCTCTTCTATGGAAGGTCTCTTCTGCCGATCGATCTCCACACATTCTAGTCCAATTTTGATGCATACTTTTATCTGCTGAAAGCGATCCCCATCAAGATGTGGCCACTGAGACACTATGTGCTCATCCGTCCAGTTATCATGTACCTACGTACAGAACCAGAATTATGATCCTTGGAGATAATATAAACCAATTGTATCATGAGCTTCTAAATATATACCCCAGTCTTTCAAGAATCAAGTAATAATTTCTCTTACGCTTTTTATAAATTGCGTCGCAGATGGTTCGTTGTTGGAACAATTTTTCTCAACTGTGGTGGTCTCCAAGATTAATAGGCCAAGACTATATATGTCTGACTTGGTGGAGATCTCGCCTCTGTATAGATATTCTGGAGCTATGTATCCACTGACAACAAAGATTTTAGTAAGTATTGCTGGAGAGAACAAAATGCAGTTCACTTCATAAAGACGGAACAAAATGTTAACGGATTTGATGTTTGACTTACTATGATCCAACAACATTTTGTGTTCTCATCCGTGTTTGTTCTTGACCAAAGAGCCTTGAGAGACCGAAATCCGCAATTTTCGGGGTCATCTTATCATCCAGCAGTATATTCTCAGGTTTAAGATCCATATGGACAATGTTAATGCTGTGTAGGAAGGCTAAACCTTGGCAGATCCCCTTGATGATTCTGAAGCGTGTGTCCCAATCCATTACACAGGATACCTCTGAACAAGTGAAACATTGCATAATGTAAGTACTCAAAGATAATAACTTCCAGCAGTTTTAAAATAAAATGGAAAAAAAATTATATACCAAAAAGATTCTTCTGAAGGTTCCCCTGCGGCAAGTACTCGTAGCAGAGTAAACTTTCAACAATGTCTGCAACAATATATCTTCCATTGTTTTGCACCACTTTCTTTTGGGCTTCATGGCAGTAGCCGACCAACTTTACTACATTCTCATGATGCAGTTGCAGAGCCATAATATTCTGAACCTCGTTAGTAAATACTTTGTCACGCGCGATTGGTGTATTTTCGGCAAGTTTCTTCACCGCAATTTTTTGCCCGTCTGGCGCAATCCCCTGTTCAAGCTCAAAAATACATTTTCAGCAAATGTTGGCATCTAATTGGCACGAAAATGTGAAGGCACGCATGACCATATTACCATATAAACCGTTCCAAATGCGCCTGTACCAAGTATACGCTCTGGTGAGAACTGATCGGTGATAGTCTTCAGAAAATCTAGCGGCAGATCCTTGGGCAATGTGCTCAGAACGCTCGGCTGCCCTCCGCTAGCCCCCGTCGCCATTTCTGATGATTGAGCACAAGTTTTGAGCTGAGCTGCTACAAGGCACAAGCTATGTATGGATGGTCACAAATCCTTGTTTACCAGAGCAAGACAGATCTATTTCAGAGAAAAGCCAAACATCCCAACTTCATCAAATTAATAAAGCCATCAACCGGAGGAGAGACCACTGTCTCCCCTCACCCGCTGCCGTCCGCCGGTCAGCAGCCCACAGAGCGGCCAGCCATGGAGCCACAAAACAGAGAGCGGGGAACGAACATGACTTGGCCTCCACCACCGACCGCTGGCATCCAAGGAAGAACCTAACCAATAGAGCCGGCACCCGACCTCGCGTCTAAACATGCATGGATCGATCTCTAGGATACTAAGCTATAAACATACATGGTTGCTGTAAGAACATCTGAAACTAAGCAGCTTCTCAGTTTCTAAAAAGCTCTGACCTGGAGAAGATGGAACACTTGGGGGGAATCGAATCCTCCCTCTCTAGAAGTAGCAGCTGTGAAGAGCCAAAAGAAGAAGGAAACGGCCGGGGACGATGAGGCTCCAGAGAAGAATCGCTTCCCTGCTAGCCTCAGCTTGATTTGTAGAAACCAAGCCAACGAGATCTGCGCAGACAAGAATGAGTTGACTTGACTCTGGCCTACGATGCTCGTCTTTAAGGATACACACACACAAAATCATGTCGGCATCTCTGCTTTAAATATTCCCACGCTGTAGCTTTCGTCGACGGTCAACACATAACAGAAATGATTTGTCTGTAAACCATGCTTGCACCTTGCTTTGGACTAGGACTAGAGAAAAAAGTTTTCAAATCTCTACCACAAGGCTCTTAGAGCAACTTCAGCAGATGCCGCGCAAGGGTGGTGAAACCTCTAAATTCACAGTATAGGCTGGCCGGAGCAGGCGGGGGAGCTCGGCAGCGGCGGCCGGAGTGTCGCCAGAGTAGGCGGCCGTCCGGAGGGCGCGGGCGCGGAAGGCCTTTGGGATCGGGCACGGGAGGCGGGCTTGCCTGACGCAAGGAAGAGGAAATGAATTTTTTTTTTGTGGTACGGTTTTGCAGCACCTATTCCGCCCAATTCCGCGGCACCATAAATTCGTTTCAAGAGGAGCCGTAAACTCTTTGCAACATCTGCTAGAGTTGTTCTTAGGGTATTTCCAATTTAGCATACCCCAAATTAAACACAGCAAAATATTCGCGGATACGTCCACATACACCGATAGGGGAGTCAGCCATCTAACCCCATGCATCACACGTACCATTCCAAACCGAAATATTACAAAAATGGATGGAATTTACGCTCATGTTCACAAGACTGCAGAAAAAATTGGATCTCTAGTAATCTAATCGTTTTCTTACTCCTCTAAGTATTTCAAAGAAACATAACATGGACATTGCTGAACTTGGGAGAATAACATTCACTCCCCTAATTTGATCACAATGTCATACTTTGACACCCCCTCCTATATGTCCACGGACAAGGCCCAGTCACATAACAGACATAGATGTGGGTTCTTTTCTCTCTTTATATTTGTGAAATTGTTTTATCTCTATACCATGGTAATTTTATGCTATATATCATGGTAAATTTATGATTATAGCATGGCAAATTTTTGTACTATGTTTTAGTAGGAGAGATGACATCTTCGTCAACTAGGAGACGTCTATGATGACTTCGTCTATCTTAAAATATTATGCGGGTTCAGCACCTTGGAGGTGTTGTGTGCTGTGTGCGTTCATAAGGGTAGGTGTATGTGCGTGTATGTTAACATCTTCAATTGTACCATGTTAAACAGATAAGTGCCACTGCAACTTTGCCGATTCAGATGAATGCCACTGCAATTATCATCTTTCGAAAGTGCCACTGAACACACCTCTAAATAGCATTACGTAAAATTTCAGACCAAAACATATAGTCGCACGTGATTTCCATATAATTTTTGTAGTATGCTTACAAAACTGAAAAGTGATGCGGCACAATTCGATCATGCCCGGAGTCTACTCTTCCTAGGTAGGATCAAGCACATGCCCAGCGAACACAACAGTGCCTGAAGTCTCCTCAACGATGAAGAAGGCGAACGGGTGATCGGCGACGAAGTCCACTGTCGGAGGTGGTGGCACACACTCGTAATCACAGTAAAGCGAGAACCCCAAGTCGTCGTCTGACTCCACGGTGACGGCGGCAGCCTCGCACCCCTCCTCGTTCATCTCCACCACCGCCTTGTGGACAACCTCGCTTACGCACAATGGCACGACCGACTCGTCATCCCCGACGATCCCAGCCATGTTGGCCAGAACGCGGTTGAAAGGCAGCTGGACAGTGGCGAGGCCACGTTATAACTGTGTAGTCGCTTGACTACACAAGATTTTTGTACGACATTGACCCCCATGTCTACGTACCACGTCGTTGAACCAGCAATTTAACTTACAGCCCATCTATTCTCTTATCCCCCTGCTTGTGTATCAATTAGTTGGGTCATTATTGGGCCGTACAGCAAAAAGAAAGTCCAAAATCCCTTAACTGATCGCACTGTATCGCTTGATCTACACATTACGTGATATCTTTGGCTCCCCTTCACGCATGCCTCTTCGTGGACGGCCGCCGCAGCGCCGTCTTCAGACTTCATGTCCCGACGCCGGTGATCTTTTACTGGACTCTGGACGTGAGACGCGAGGAACGACCACCTTGGGCCGTCCGGCGAGCCGCGAGCGACGCACCTGCGGCTGCACATAAATTGTTCGTCTGGTACTCTGAATCAATCGACCAATACTATTGTACTAGTCTGCACTCTGTATCTGATCCAACACAAGGCAAGGCCCTCCACTTTTCTACTTCTACTTGTTTGTTTTATGTAATGCTTGACATCACAAGGTTTTGATCCTGGCACCGCCACTGCAGCTGGAGGCCCAGGTCCTTGAGAACGTTGCGGATGTTGTTCATGTACATCAGCTTGAACTTGGGCAGCCGGAACTTGCCGACGGGGACATGGTCCCTCGGCAGGTGCTCGTGTAGGAACTTTGGGCGGGCCGTGATCCTCCCGACCCAAGCTCCTTAGGCCGTCGCGGTCCTCGGGGAGGAAGACGCACATGGAGAACTCGGGAAGGCCCTCTCGCGGCTTGGAGTTGTACGCCGGTGGGCTGTCGTCGTTGAACGACTTGTACGGCAGCTTCAGCACCCTGAACCCGTCATGGCACGCGATCTGCTGGTACATTCTCCACGGCCTCTGCAGGAAGGGCACCTTGTCCACGATGCTGCCATAGAGAAGGTGGAACTCATCGTTGACGGTTTGATAATCAAGGTATCAATCCAGTAGGAGAAGAATGCGCAAATCATCAATACTTGCACAAACAATCAAACACTTGCACCCAACGCGATAAAGGGGTTGTCAATTTTTTCACGGTCACTTGCAAAAGTGAGATCTGATAGAGATAGATAAACAAAAGATAAAATACTTTTGGCATTTTTGGTTTATAGATCTGAAAATAAAAGATTGCAAAATAGTAGATCGAAAATTAATATAATGAAAAATAGTAGATAGGAAATTAATATGATGAAAAATAGACCCGGGGCACTAGAGGCTTCTCTCTTGAAGGCAAATAATACGGTGGGTGAACAAATTAGTGTCGACCAATTGATAGAAAAGCGCAAAGTTATGACGATATGCAAGTCAATGATTATGTAATATAGGCATCACGTATGTATCAAGTAGACCGACTCCTGCCTGCATCTACTACTATTACTTCACTCATCGACCGACTCCTGCCTGCATCTACTACTATTGCTCCACACATCGACCGACTCCTGCCTGCATCTAGAGTATTAAGTTCATAAAGAACAGAGTAACGCATTAATTAAGATGACATGATGTAGAGGAATAAACTCAAGTAATATGATTAAACCCCGTCTTTCTATCCTCGATGGCAACAATACAATACGTGCCTCGCTACCCCTACTTTGTCACTGGGTGAGGACACCGCAAGATTGAACCCAAAGCTAAGCACCTCTCCCACTGCAAGAAAAACCAATCTAGTTGGCCAAACCAAACCGATAATTCAAACAGAAGTACAAAGATACCAAATCATGCGTATAAGAATTCAGAGGAGATTCAAATAATATTCATAGATAAGCTGATCATAAATCCACAATTCATCGGATCTCGACAAACACACCGCAAAAGAAGATTACATCGGATAGATCTTCAAGAACATCGAAGAGAATATGGTATTGAGAATCAAAGAGAGAGAAGAAGCCATCTAGCTATTAGCTATGGACCCGTAGGTCTGTGATGGACTACTCACGCTTCATCGGAAGGGCAAGAGAGTTGATGTAGATGCCCTCCGTGATTGAATTCCCCTCTGGTAGGATGTCGGAAAAGGCCCCTAGATGGGATCTCACGGGAACAAAAGCCTGCGGCGGTGGAAAAGTGTTTACGTGGATGCTTCTAGTGGTTTGAGAATATATGTGAATATATAAGAGGAAGATCTACGTTAGGGGGTCACCGAGGGACCCACAAGGTAGGGGGCGCGCCCTACCCCCTGGGCGCGCCCTCCACCCTTGTCGCCGGCTCGTGGCTCTTCTGACTTGCACTCCAAGTTTCCTGGGTGTCTTCTGGTCCAAAAAAATCATCGTGAAGTTTTATTTCGTTTGGACTCCGTTTAGTATTCCTTTTCTGCGAAGCTCAAAAACAAGAAAAAAACAGAAACTAGCACTAGGCTCTAGGTTAATAGGTTAGTCCCAAAAATAATATAATATAACATATTAATGCATATAAAACATTCAAAATAGATAATATAATAGCATGGAACAATAAAAAATTATAAAATCGTTGGAGACGTATCACCGGAATGAAGTAGTGCGAACCGCGGCCGCAACTTAAATCCTTGGTTTCTCACTTTTGCATGCACGGGGACAAGGTGTGGCCGAAGATGCGGTTGTTGAAAATATGCCCTAGAGGCAATAATAAATTGGTTATTATTATATTTCCTTGTTCATGATAATCGTTTA